TTTTTTTTTTTTCCATGGATGCAACGGTAACATGCAATTGAACTTATTTCAAAACCTCATCTATATACACGTATTCTCGGATATCTTTATTCCAATATCTTTATTAGGCACGGTACACACGAACGGTTTATTAAAGTATTACATTAATCAGATCGCGTGACGTTTTCTCACGAATATGTAACGTTTTAAATAATATTCCTTAATAAGAGGGTAAAGTTAATATTTGCACCGGTATGCAACGCTCTGATAAATTATCGTCGCTTTTAATTTTCAATAATATTTAATAATATGGAGTGTTGCATTTTTATGCACTAATAAATTCCAATTACATATATATCAATAAACGATATATCAATATAATTTTTAATCCAAATTAAAAAAAAAAAATAGAATCATCTGACAAGTCTTAGTGTCTCTTTGTGTGAGATAGGATTAGAAAATATTTGTAAATAAATTAAAAAGAAAAAGAAAGGGTATCTAGAAATTTCACTGCTCGAAACGTTCATTTTAACTTCACTGCTTATTCGAAATTTCACAGTTCACAGTTCTAGAAATGTACGAATTCCAACTGTTTCATTATTCGAAATCGGAAGATGGATATTGTAAGTTATTTAAAAACAAACCCCCGGCACCGGGATCGCGAGGAACGCCGATAATTTCGCCGGGGAAACGCGAATTGCTAATAACTAAAAATGAAAGCTCGGGAAACAAAGGGTACGGGGCGAGCACCGTAATGTAAACTTTGAAGAAGGGAAGTTTCCTTCCCTCGAAATTTGAGAAGATAAAGTTCATATTGGCCCCGTGGAAAGTCGGGCTTTTAAGAGCAATCCCTATTTTACGAAGGTGTATTTAAATCAATAAGGACAAGATTATATAAGTCCCCGATGGAAAAACTTTCTCCATAATCGCTTGCATTCAGGTGTCGGCAATTAGCAAACTTTACTGTCCGGCATTATCGTTTATCTTTGCCCCGACGATCTATAATCTTAAGGAATTAACGAGGGGGAAATGTGTATTACTTTCACCCACCTCGACGACATTTTTTTTTATTAATTATCGTAAATTGTGACCAATTGATTTTCAATTAAACATTGATGACTCAATTGTGATAAATAAAATTATATCGAACTTGTGCATTTCGAAAAATTTAATGTACAAATTCGTTTAAAGAATGAATTTCTTTACAAATTACAATTGACAAATTGAAAGAATCTGATTTTATTAATGATATAAATACAGAGAGAGATGTAGTATTGATTATTTTTTGAATTTTAAAAATTCAAAAAAAAAAAGGAAAAGAAAAACGACGAGAAAGTGTTTCCTCAAATTCGTCTCTTCAAACGTTGGTACAACGCCATTACATTTCCGAGCGGAAGTTGATACGTTGTCAATACGTTTCACCTGTCGAGCCTGTGTATATCGATACTCGTGTGTACGATTTGCAAAGTTCGGTTGCAAATTCCACACAATGGCTACATGACGTACTAGCTACCTATGTTTTTTCGGACTGAGCCCTGTTCGGATTAGCCGCGAACACGGATTTAGCAAACATGACGAGGAACGAGGGACATTTCAATGGAAGTTGAAAACAATTGTTTGCATTGGGTGGAACGTTTTCGAACGTGCCGCTTTTAAAAGCTTACTCGATTTCCCCTGGCTGAAATGCCCTTTTCATATTTGACTTTAAGAAGATCGTAATATTTCTGATTAAAAAATTAAAGAACTAATGGACACTTTTTTTGTAATAAAATAAATTTGCATATATTAATTATACTGCTAGAAAATTAATATAATGAAAATGAAATATTTGACAAATTATTTCGTTAGAATATGCAGCCATATTGTATAAAATTTTGTTGTTTCAAAAAATTCTCAAGACATTTACGCGTGAAATTTTAAGGGAGCTACGAAAATACAGTAACTTGAAGAATATTATCATCGAACTAATGAAGAAGCTATAATAAGAGAGCTTTCGTTAAAAATCGACAGCATATAAAAACATATTCGAGTAAAACGACGACGAAATTCGACTCGTGATTAAATGGAGCCCTGTCTAAATTAATATTCAAAAAACAATTTTAAAACAAGCAGGTAACGATTATTAGAGCAGATTTATTGATTATTAGATAACTAATTTATTTTATTTATTTAATTTAGATAACTGAAACGGCAAACTATTCCTACAAGACTCGAATTATCACCGTCCTCGGACCAAATACTTACCGAGGAACAGCTACTCTCGCGAATAATCTCGAATTCTGCACGAAAGGGCGAAGTCTTCGAGTGATTTTACCTCCCCGCGCTCGGTGCGGCGAGACACCAAAAATTCAATTTGCGGACTTCCGCCATAGAGATCGGAAGTTAAGTTCCAAGTTTCCTGTGCTGTTGGCCGCGCGGCCGTCCCCTACCACCTTTTTCTCTCCACTCGTAAATAATCAACGAAAACGTCCTCCTCCTTCCTCCCTTCCTCCCTTCCTCGATGATAACTTAACGAACTCGAGGAATCGGTATTCTCTCTGGGCGTCAGAGTCAGCCAACTCGTCAAAGCTTTCGTTGAAATCGAGAGAAAGAAAGAGAGAGAGAGAGAGAGAGGAGAGAAATTGGAGGAACCACAGAAACCCGGGAACGAAACAATGACGTTTCTCGTTCACCACGGTGTAAGCACGCCCCGGTTCTACCCGTATTTTTGAAGCCGCCTTTGTGCTAACCCGCTTTCAAATTTCTCAGCTACGCCCCAACTTCGGGTAACTGAATTCTATTGGTCACAGCGTCGAGTCGTGACGGCGAGAGAACGCCGCCATACTCTTAAGAAAAG